CTTTTTACTTACATTTTAATTTTCTTTGACTTTATCTATTTTTTAATTCTTTTCACCTGCCTTTCTTTATGAAGTAACGAGGCGGTTTCTATTTAGATAATGAATTTTTATAAAAGTTCTTTACGACAGAATAAACGTATTGCTGTTTTATATTAACTGTGTCATTTCGGAATCCATTCTTTACATAGTTGTTCATTTACTTTAGGGAACACGCGAAAAATTATACTTTTTCCTTTTGTTTTTATATCAGAATTTTTGCAAGTTGCAATCGCGCAAACTGGCATTTCGATAATAGTTTTAAATTCTTGTAAATTCACTGCAAAAACTGAGGAAAGTCATTATAGAAAATAACAAATGTCTTAGAATATCTCGCAAAATGAAATGATCCAATATTAGTTAGAGCTAGTAAGGTCGAACGCTTCGTTCTTGAAGTAAAAGTGCGAGCTTTGCGCCAAAGTGACGTCACTAGAGAAAATCGGAGGATTGGAGCGGCGAGAGTTACTTCAAAGGAGTGAACCAGCCCTTCTATTCTCTTTAGCCCTGGGTAGTAGTACTGATGGTTTGGGAAATATTTCCGAGGATCATTTGAAAGCATGCCACAATTTCAATCCTCTGCAGAAGGGATGACTCCAATGCTTTGGTAAATAAATTTGCTTAATATATATAAAAAACTTTTACAATAATTTATTTTAACTTCTGTCACTAGACAATTATAAATTTAGCTTCACAATTTCACTATGATTTAAATTAAGTCCTAATTGATGTCAGAGCTTTAAGTTTAGATCGGTCACAAGTTATATCAGAGCTATGGTCCCACCTTTTGAGAACTGCTATCTTGTAAAACCTTTTAGTTGCTAACAAATGAAATATAATGAGAGGTTACTGTACTAATTCATTTTCAACTAATTAATTTTACTCACAGTTTGCATTAATGCATTCGGAAAAATTACTTAAAATACCTCTAATTATTCCATATATCTCTGATCCTGCGGCTGCTGGATAACTAGGGATTTTTTATGAATTATACTGTATCTATGCTGTTGCTTTGATTCTATTTTGTAACAATAAATGTTGTAACAATAATCTTCCAAAATACTTTCTGCTACCTCAAAATGGTTCAGCAGACTTTAACAAAATTTTAGAAACATGAAATTTTATTTGTTTTGAGCACTCATTTACATAGTAAATAGAGTAAAACTTTTCCGAGTAAAACTCAGAGAGAAAGTTTGTAAGTATTTTGCATAGCTAACGAGTACAACAAAGAAATAAAAGTCAACTTTAACTCTAGATTCAAAAACATTTGTTTTACAGACCTTGTAAAATACATAAATACTTGTAACTTTTAAAGTGAAAGAAATAGAAAAATGAACTTCTGAGTACCTTCCTATATCATTAGGTGAATGTTTATCAACAGTGTCTCTTACATGTTCATGAATCTAGGATTAAAGATGTTGGTACCAAAAGTTGTAAATAATTTCGAAGAAAATTCATCCCAGAAATTTATAACCAAAGTTTGAGAGTAGACACTCAAGACACTTTAAATCAGTATTATCTTTAAAAAGATATTCAGATACAGCTAAAAATTTGTTAAATGAAAATAAATAACTTGATAAATAAGAAAAGAAGAAAAAAAAAGAATTTTGAATTTGAATAATTTTCACATATTTTTACCTTAAGCTGACTTAACTGCAGACAATTTTAATTTTTACGCTATTTTTAATCCTGGCCACCTCTGTTTTACTAAAATCAGAATCGACAGATGATATAACAGGAATTTGGAGACAAATATAATTAATAAATACTTATTTTCTAAAATAATAAAAACACACAATATTTCAATAAATACAATTGAAGAATAAGATTAGTAAATGATGTAAGTGGCACAAAAAGGAAAAAACTGTTTTCATGTAAAAAAATATCATGCACAGGCATAGGTTCAGACAAATTAATCAAGTTCCGTCTGTACTAATACAAGAGGCAATCAAAACGAAGTGATGTTTTGCTCCCAAATTATCAGGAATTTGTTTAGACAAATATCACAAGGTTTAGTGTTGCCACTTTAAAAAAGTAACATTTCTCAATGTCATTTTGATATCTGTTGAATAAATTTTGATTATCAAAATACTATATTTTCTTGTAAGAATTAATGGTACTTCATTATAAACATTTTAACAATAACATTATACAACCACAGTTACATGTTGTAAATTATAACTTGAATGTTTGACCCAAAATTTTTTAATAATAATTTCAGTTTTTATTTCTTGTAAACAGTAATTGCCAGTGCCTGATATAAGTTTTGTTTAAATACCAAATGTTTCACATTATGATTGATACATAATTTTTGTTTTCTTTTTTGTAATTTCCCACTGTTTTTTGTACTTACTACATTTAGTAATCTTTTAGTTTTCAATCATTAACTATATATGTACTACTTTATAATTTCAAAATAACACAAGAATATTTAATTTACAATTAGACTGTTATTTTTCGAAGCAGGGATGGCAAATTCTTTCCACAGTAGAAAGAACCACTCTGGAATAAATAGGGTTCTTCCAATCCAAGTGGAAGAAACTCTTTTTTAAAAAGAAATATCAAATATTTAAAAAAAATATGTATATTTAATTGGTTCAAAATTGCAATCTAGTTTAAATTACAGTATTAATTTGCAAGCTATTTAATATATCATTTTTAAATGTATGAAAACTAAAAATCTACAATTGGGAAGAAAAATTTATTGAATTTCTTAAGAAGATTTTACATTAATAAGTATAATCTAACCTTATATTATGAATATGAAATGAAATCTTAAAATATAATTTTTTTTTATCAATGCTACCAAATAAAGAAATCACATACTAAAAAATATACACTAGTACATACAAATCATATATTAAATTCACGACTAGTAATAGCATAATTTTTATAATCAAATATTTATAAATATTAATACTCGAATCAGCTCTTAAATAATCTGATATAAAGATTTTAAAATTCTGTATAAAACAAATAGAGAAATAGTTATTTTTTTAAAAGAGTTTAAGTAAAAAACTTTTAACTTCTTGGCACTATAATAAAAGTAATTTATTTAAATTTAAGCTATTCCTATAATACTCGTTGCTAAAAATTGTAGGTCACTTTTAATCTTTTTTTATTTTGTACAGTTATTTCAATTTTGTGCAGTTCCTTCATGTCTTGGAAGAAATTGGTTTCTTCCAAACAAAATGCAACCCTGCTTTTAAGGAACTTAATACATAATATAGTAGAACCTCAATCGAACGCTTCTCATGTGACTATTCATTATGAACGATAGATACAAGAAAATGAAGAACGTGGGCCAACATAAAATAATGACTTGAAAATATATAAAAAGTAGTTAAGTAATGAGCTTAAAAATTAATAAATTTGCAATAAATCTACAACAATTATGCATTTACTGCAAAAATATTTATAGAGATGAATAAACTCATTTATTTAAAATATAGTAGAACCTCAATTAACTGACACTTTCCGGACGAGGGCTATGTTGGAAAATAAAAATCATTGGATAATAGGGAGATCGTTATCTGACTCAAGGTTCTAGTACATAAATTTTGAACTATGATAGAAATTATTCAAAATAAAAGAAGATAATCTGAATCTTAAAAGTTTTTTCAAAAAATACACTTTTATTTTATTTATCTATCACAACCATATTTCGGATTAATCCTCACAACAGTAATTTGGTAACACGGGCAGTAATTATGATAAAATATGCGTTGGAATGCTTTGTATAACCAAAGTGTCGAATGAGCAGACATCAGGTAATAGGGGTCTTACAGTATTTGGAAACTATTTCGGTTTTACAAAATTTTTTTCTCCTTAGCACAAACAATTAATTTTCCAAATTTGTAACAGATTGTTATTCATTTTCTGTAAGTTCGTATGAGTACAGGAAGTTCCTCGTTGTTTCAAAGACTTCAACCTTGGCACTGGTTATGGTTCTATTTTCCTATTTTCAATGCATTTTGCACCTCTTCAGTTTCTAAAATCATTTCTTGAACCAAAAAGACTAGAAGTTTCAACATTTTCATCAACTAACACAGATACATCAAACATGATAATTGAGGCATTATCTCATACAGTAACAAATCCTTATTTTGTTCATCATCATCATTAGAAGTAACTGCTTTACTTCTCAAATTAAAAATAATCTAAATTTTTTTAATGTTGGTATAATTTCTAAACAATAGATGCAAGATTTGAAAACGTCTGAAATGGACATGGTGTTATATTTTAAAAATAGCATTGGTGAAGGGGCTGTAAAAACAAGATGGTAAATAAAAGGTGAAAGATGTAGGAACGATTGATCAAGGTTCTACTGTTACAGTAACAAAGAACACAGATTTTCAAATAACTAAAATATAACAAATATATATTTTTGTACCACACTTTGGTTAAGTAATAGTAGTAGTGTTGCAAGTAATACACAAAAGATAAATCTTTCACAAATCATAAAAAACTAATTTTATATCAATGATTAATTATTATTTCTTAAATGTATTTAACAAGAAATAAGAAAATTTTTATTAAAAAATATATATACAGATATATATATATCACTCAAACTTTTAGTTTCAAAGTATTATTTTTTTTAAAATTTTTATCAAACAGAAAAAAAAGTCTCTTTTTATTTATATATATATATATATATATTTATTTAGAATTAAATTTCAAGGTAATTATTAAAAAATTTGTCATCACAAATAAACCACCACTTATTTCTTAATTTTCTGAGGCCTGTATATTTATCAATATAATTTTAACTTCACCGGGCAAGCAAGAGACAAAATTTTCAGTTGCTAAAACACACAATACTAACATACCTAAAAATATATAACAAAAAAAAAAAAAACATTTCAAATGATTTTTGCAATTGACTAGTAAACTAAAAAAATTATTCAATAAAAAATTAAAACATAAGTAAAGCATAGCACACACCACTTATGATGATAAATTCCATAAGTGGCCTAATTTATCACATTTTCTTATAAATTTATGACAAAATGATGTTTTAATTAAGAGAATCTTGAACTGATAGGTTCTGTTCAAAAATTACCCAATGTTGACTTGCATGATTATCACATGAAAAAGCAATAAGTCCTTGAGTTTGATGGCTTCGACTATCTAAACATAAATTGTATGTTTTATGTTTTACAGTTTGGTTGTTACTAAGTAATATCCACTTTTGTTGAATACTTCCTTTAGTACATTTTTTTAAAGTCACGGACATGCCCACTTTTGGTCTGTTGAGAGTTAAACATAAATTATCATGTTGAATTTGATGATTTTGTGTATAAGTCCATTCTTGATTTCCCCCACTTCCATGACAAGCATATAAACCAACATTTTCACCAATGGCATGGCCAAGAGTATCAACACAAAGAAGACCCTGACGAATTGTACCTTTAGGAGAAACATCTTTCATAGGAACTTGAAGCTCGGGATAAACATTTTTTAAAAACCAACTGAAAGGTTTACAGTTAAGTTCTTTTCGTAACGATATACGGTTTTTAATATCACCTACAGGAACATTTCTGGCAACAGGTACAGCAGCATAATAAAAATTCTTATAATTATCCATCCAAACTTCTGCTACTCTTTTTGTATTGTGAGCAAAAACATTACCACTTCCACCAGGAAAAGAATATGGATGTTGCTTACGAAAAACATGACCTACTCTGCTGCATGGTATAATTTCTAAACTTCCCCCACACTGCCATATTCGAAAAGAAAGTTCTAAATTTTCTCCACCCCAAATATTCATCTCTTCATCATATTTTCCCATTTTTTTAAAGTAATCACTATTTATAGAAAACAAGCCTCCAGCAATCATAGGAGTTTTAATTGCAGTTGTTGGATCAATTGAACGTTGTTGTCTTTCCTGAGGAGAAAGGAATTCCCATTTAAATACTAAATTCCACTCAAAACCACCTCTTAAATCAGATGAGGCAGCATAGTACTTAAAATCATCCATATTAATAACATCAATAACAGGACATACAACTCTAGTTGGATCTTCTACTATTCGTTCTAGCAGAGGTTCCAACCAGTGCACATTACATTCACAGTGACTATCTAGGAAAGTTAATATGGTTCCCTTCGCAGCTTCAGCACCTTTAATCCGTGACCTGATTAATCCCTCTCGTTTATCATTTCTCAGAAGAATAACTTTCTGAATGCTGGCAAGCAAAAGTCCATAATTAGGATCATCGCTAAAGTCATCAACTAATATAATTTCTTTTATTAAATGTTCTGGACTTCTGTTTAAAACACTAACAATAGTGCGCAATAAAGTTGAACGAGCTTCATTATGAAAAGTAATAATAACACTAGTAGAAGGAAGATCTTTACGCTTAGTTTTGGATGAGCATTTGTCATGTCTTGTGTCAGGTATATCTCGATTACTAGGAAGTTTGTCACTAGCAGCTTGGTTAAATTTATTGCGAGAATAGTAGTTTTCGCCAGGTGCAAGTATAGTTTCACTAACATATTTTTTTTCTTCGAAGTACTGCCATTCAATTTGTAAAGCATTATCATTTCTAACATTGCTGACAAAGTTTTTGTCATCATGAGAGGTTTTCAAACGGAGGGCTTTGTTAGCTGGCTTCGAAGATGGTAGTAAGACAATGAAAATAGCAGTTAAGATTGCAACACATAGAAGCAAAATCAAATACCTCTTTCTGACTCGAAGCATAGCACACCTCATATTTCACACTTCTTCTTGACAGAGGACTTTTCAGATAAATGAATCTTCAACAATCCACATTCATGACTTCCGTTACATTGCATGAAACTGTGGAAAAGAGTACCTCAGTATTCTTAGGGAAAGTTTTGATTTCAACAAAACAGAATTTTATAAAATAAGTTAACAAAAATCACAGTTCAAAATTCATGTTCAAATACAGTTCCTTGAAAAAAAATTACTAATTTAAACTACCACAATCATAAAAAACTAATTTGTTAAATAAATATATTGCAAATATAATCACCGAAAAACGTTTTTGGAATTTGTGTTAGGATTGAACACAGAACCAAACTATCACAAGTATTCTCTTTTTTTATTGTTAGTAAATTCAATCCACACCGTGCAGTTTAAAAATCAGTACGATATTAGATTTCTATTTATTTCTTCAAAAAAAAAAAAAAAAAAAAAAAAAAAAAAAAAAAAAAAAAAAAAAAAAAAAAAANTCAAAAAAAAAAAAGATCTAATGTTAACATTAATTTAAAAATATAAATGTTTAAAAAAATTAAAAAAAAAAAAGATTAATGAAGAATGTTTATATTAAATGCTGGCTTTAGTGTTATATAACTTCTTGGTAATGTGTTGTTCAGAAACACTTGGTTCATTCAAACACATTTAGAACAATTTAACTGTGATATTTCAGTATACAAAACTCTGCATCTTAATGTACAACAGGTTTTGCAAATTATATTACCTAAAAAATTCTGATAAGGATTATTATTTTTTACCCTTGCATGCCTTGTCAGGTGCATAAACATTTTATCAGAAAGACCATAAAATATCAATTAAGCGTCACTTTAAATTTAACGGAAATCGCAAATATGCTGGATGTGGTTAGGACTATTCTTACCATAAAGATTTTATAAACTTTTCATAGAAAATAATTTTACATTTTCATTTAAAAAATCAACAAAGTAATAGAATTAAACCTTGATCCATCATTTCAGCATATTACATTCTCCTCTATATATTATTTTGTTTTAACAGTTCCATCACAGACGCTATTCTTATAATGTAATTAAAATAGTCCCGAAATCCTGCATCTATCATTCAGATCTTGAAATTCTAACTTCTGATGCTAATGATGAAAAAAATAAGGATTTATTAAAGTTTGGGAAAAACACTTTAAACAACATGTTTGATAATTATTCATCAGTTGATAAAAATGTTGGAACTTGTGGTGTTTTCGGTACAAGAAATGGCTGCAGACGCTGAAGTACAAAGTCAAGAAATTTCTGCTTTTAAAGGAACATACGAAAAATAAACTGCAATCTTTAACAAAAGTCGAAAAGAAAAACGCTGAGAAGAAAAGAGTGAGTTCAAATCAAAGTTTCCAAAGATTTTAAAAAAATAACATGTTCATTAAACTATCTTTTGCATCGTAAATATTTTTGTAGAAAGTACATAAATTTTCCTCAATTAAAATCTTCTATACTTATTATAAACTTATCACTTTTAAATTTAATTACTTCCTCATTACTTTTATTAAGTTTCAATTTATTATTTGATACTTTAGGTTTACTCCTATTCATCATTTTCCTGAATCTATTGTTCGCAATAAATGTTCCCACTAGAAACCATCGATTGAGGTTCTACTGTAAACGATAATTACGAGCATGATCTCATGTCAAGGAGTTTTATCTACTCTTCTTTCAAGAAATTTTCAGAATTATATGATATTTTAAGTTACAAAATCAGACAGATTTAAATTCTTGACATTTAAATTATGAAAGTAGTTGCAATCTGACCCAATAGTTTGGTTTGGAGAGCAGTCAATATAATAATTATATATTAATCAAAATTAGTTTTTTTCAGCAATCATTTATTAATTTGTAAGCTTTTTTCACATGGCTTTTCAAATCTGGCTATTTTTCATTAGATGTACCTACGCGGTTAAAATTTGTACAATCACTTTTTGATGCTTTTGATTTTTGAAAATTACATCATAATTTGATGTAGTAGATAGTTTTTTCGATTGCTAAACATCATTTCTGTGGCCTTTTCACATGGTTTTTCAAATTCTGATATTTTTAATTAAGTATTAGAATGACATTTGAATTTGAGTTAACACTAACATATTTAATTCGTGGTGATTCCATTGTAACTTCAATTTGATGATGAAATTAATAAAAGAAATAAAATTTGATTTCGCTGTCAAGGAAAAAAATTTGACAATGGTCCGTATAACCAAAAAAATACGAGAAATTTTTCGTTTTGATTTCAAAGGGCAAAAAATAAAGCCTGTATTTGAGAATCTCTTGCAAAATGCAGTAGAGTTGCACACAAGAGTACAATAATCGTTCCAATCGAACTCAGCGCAGTGTTAGCACTTGCGGATCTGCAAGAATTTCATCAAAGATGTAAAATTCTTGGAGCTTTCATACAGTATGCCAAAACGGATTGTGAAAGCGTTGAAAGGAACAATGAAACAATATAAAACCGTGCTTTTTGCGTAATTTGTGACGAAAATCGACATGGTAACGAAAACAAAAATCACATTTTGGGAAAAGGGAAATTAGGCAAAAACACCCAATGAAAAAAGCGCCTATAAGGACTTTTAAAAGACTAAAAATGAAAATAAGCACCCTAAAGCAATTTTTAAAAATACTATGCACCCTGTATAAGTAATATAGTTTCATTTCTACAAAATAATATAGTTTTATGCAGGCAAATTATAACAATGAACTTAGGTTTCAAACTTTTTTTCACAGCCAACATTTTTTTTTAGTATTATAACAAATAAGTAGTATAATACTTCATATAATTCATAAGTAGTATAATACTTGAATAATAGATGTGGTAAAGTTGTTGTTATTGACAAATGCAAAGCTTTGACTATCATATCATTAGCTTTAGAGTTCTTTAATACTTTTTAGGCAGATTATTAAAATTTCTGAATGCTTTGCTCTTGTCCAGGCAATAAATATGGAAAACTTGTCCAGAGTCACATAAACAACATAGGGGAGAGTCTATAAATTTAAAACAAAACAAATTGGCACACAAAATTTGCAACTGCTGCAGTTCTTGGATCAGATCATCTGCATGAAGTATAGTACATTTCTTGTTCTCAGCACCACACGTAAAGTCATATATTTTAGAATTTCTGATGGTTGCTCCTTTCTTTGCTAGAAAAACAGCCTTTTTGTTTCCCTGGGATTCCAGAGTAAGAGGAAATTCACTGCAAAGCAACAACATTGGCCAGTTCATTCAGAATATTTCTACAGTTGATGATAGGAAAGTTATCAGTTGTACTATTATTTGCTGAAAACTGGGGAACAAATTTAGAATAAGAGAGAATAACAGCTCGATTGAATGAATTTCTCTTTTTCTTTTCTTTTGTAATTAGTAATTGCTGCAAGGCCCATAAGCAGAATATTTTCAAATGTTCTGCAACAGGACTCATTAATTTATATAAATGTTCTGCAAGCATTTCACTGCGAAAAAAAGTCAACTTTAAGTTAAAATACTATATTTTCACTTATTAAAATACAGGATCATACACAGATACACTACATTATTTTTTAAACCAAGGCAAACATTCTAGATTTGTTACTTTTTCAATCACTTTTGAAGTACAAATTTTGTTAATGACGACGATGATGAATTATTAATAAAATGCCTATGATATGAAGGTCCGAACATTAAAATAAGGGCTGCCTTAAAAATCTTTCGAAGGGACAAGTGCCCAAATGGTGCACCATTTGCAAACACAAACATTCGCTGGCTGTTGTTCCAACAACTTCTTCATCTCCATCAAAAGCATTTGGTCTTTCAGAAACAATTCTGTCAATCGTGGATCCCCACGATTCACAAATTGCTTCTGAAATGGGAATGGAAAATATAAAAGTCATAAACTTTATGAAATTGGAAATCTCGGAATTTAAATCTTTTACGGCTTGATTTAGAAGCTTTCTTGATAAAATAGGTGATCGATTTCTCCTGCTGTCTGCTAAACACTGATACGCCCATTTTATAAAAATGTTATAGCCAAAAGCTTGTTCTTTAATTTCCTCCTCAGAATGGCAAAGGTATGGGAGAGGGAGAATACTGATAAATGTTCTTTTAAAGCAACATCACTCCAGGGAAACAGCAAGTGGTCAAAGCTAAAGAGAATTCTATTCAAGATACAAATTGTTCTGCAGGATTTCGTTTGTTCTGCGACGTATGTCACAGTTTTAGGCACTTTCTGCTTCTGGGCTGCAAGGCAATATAAATAGTTTCAATCTCACTTTCAAAATATAAGAGGTGAGAGGGATATAAAAGAAAAAAATATCACTGTTAACTGAAGTGTCTGCTCCCTCCTTACTATTCAGAGAACTGTCATTATGCACATATATCCAAATTTCTGATGGATATTGGTTCTGATTAGCTGATACAGAGATTGTCCTAATCTGAAATGAGGTTTCTTACAGGAAAGTCAAGGTATAAATGGACATCCAACTCCAGCAATTCGGGCTGGGCAGAAAACTAAGACAAGAATTTTAGCTTCCCCCATTAAGTCCAGAGTTTCACCGAGAAAACATGTCTATGTTTTAAAGTTTCTACAGTTTCCTATACTGTAATCTCTCCAAAATGCATTCCTTGGTAATCTTAATAACTTATAGTAGAGAATAGCAGCATTCTCTTCAATGCTTTTAGAGATAGAATCAACATTAGTTAATTGACATATGGCTTGATCAGTTGTGGTTTTACTGCTCCAATGATCCTGATTTAGGATGGTGTGCAATTAGTATATGATGGTACCAGTGGCTGTGATTATAATTTCCTTGCAGTACAAAAGAATAGGTTTTATAAGCATTTTATAAGTGGTAAGCATGGTAGAACAACTAATGTCTTATTTTGCTTCTAGCCAGTCTCTTTAAGAGAGAAAATTTTCTTAAGGGTCCTAGATCCTACATACTCTTTCCAGGTAAGACGAGAGTCGAAAACACGCCCTAGATATGTAGTAAAATTAACTCATCGTATTTTATAACCATTGTAAACTGAATCAGCAAAAACTTTTTGGTATAACAAAAATAATTGATAGGTTGTCGAATATATATTTACAACCAAGCTGTTACCATCAATTTACAAAGCTAAACAGTCAAAAGCTCATGTGTCAGTCATGCTTAATTGTTTCCTATAAGCAGCAGAACTAACATAGTCAAGTTATTTGCATATAAAGCTGTTTCGAGATTTAAGATTAAGAGATTTAAATTCAACAAAAAAAAAAAAAAAAAAAAAAAAAAAAAAACAGATTTCTTTTGTCAAGTTTGTCTTCAATGGCTATGAAATTCAATCTGCTAGACAGTTTAGTGTAATTTTCTAAAGCTAGCTTGATGTCTGCCAAGAATGTTATTCTCCTCAAAATATCAAACATTTGTTTCTTTATTTATACTACTAATTAACACTGATAAATACTATGTGTGATTAAGTCTGATTTGACTACCACTGCCCTACATGGCTATTTTAGGCAGTCGGAAAATTACCATATTCATTTTTGCTCAATTATGCAATATACTTAAAATTTAAAAATAATTTAAATATACATCTTGTATACAGACAAAATGTTACAAAAATGCGATCATTCAAAGCGCCCAATTAAAAAATTTTAATATTCTTGATGTGCTATGATAATCCATGTGATCATTTTAAGAACTACATACAGTGGAACCTGTAAAAGTGACCACCTGGGTAAAGTGAGAATCTGAGTAAGGTGACCATTTGCTGAAAGTNTTGTATACAGACAAAATGTTACAAAAATGCGATCATTCAAAGCGCCCAATTAAAAATTTTTAATATTCTTGATGTGCCCATGTCATCATTTTAAGAACTATTTCAAAAATTTTAATATACAATATAATATTATGACAAAAAAGTGCTTGCTTAATAACACCAATAGAAAATAGCTATAAGTACAATGAAATTTAAAAAAATTAATTAGATAATATACGGATATTTCCATTGACAAAATTTATAAGAACTAAGCAGTCACATGAATAAAAAACTGAACTAATAGAAAAAAAAAAGAGAGAACAGATTGAACTGTAAAATATATAACCACTTCCCAAAAACCAACTTTTCAGGTTTTTTTCTCATTAATTGTAATTACAAGAAACTAACAGTATCATTTTGTTGTATTACAGTATCACTTGGCTATTGCAGTCAGTGTGATCAGGATCTGATAATTGAATGATGCCAAAAGTACTTCAAAGAATTAGTTAGAATATAAAATAAAAATAATACTTATGGTATTCACCTTAACTTTCACAACATTTGAGGAACTAAAACATGCTATCTGTTTTGTAGTATCTGTTCTTGAATCAATATCCAAGTGGCTTGACTACTTGTTCAAGTTGGCATTCAGCAATTTTATTTATATAATTAAGAGGAGTTTCAGAAAAATTAAAAGAACAACAAAACCATTTTTTCTGTGAAAGTTAACAGAAAAACATAAAATGTAATTTTCAGTGCTTACTTTCTTATTCACAACTATTATAACACACAGGAAATGCCTTAAACAAACCTACGTATTTTTCTGAAATGTGAAAAATAATGGGAACTTTTTTTTTTAAGTATAGGATAATAAATCCTTTTAAGGACCATTATTACAGCAACTCAAACAAGTGGGATACTTATGTATCAGTCGCTACTTATGGCAACTACAATCACCAATGGATTTTAAACTTACAAATATACATTTTTTTCAAAAAAAATTGTGAGATTTGCTAATAGTTATACCCTTAAGGTTGGTTTCTTTCTGCTATAATTATTTTAAAGTTTTTTGGGTTCTGTTATAAATTTTTTTGATGACTTGCACGTCGCTAAACAGAAGTCACCAAAGCTTGGTGATTATTTTGGCTTAGATACCTTTAACAAATATTCTCAATCTCTTCTAAGGAACCATTATTACAAATCTCTTCTAAGGAACCATTATTACAACCGGATCGGTCAATGTGTAATCATTGTACTGCTTAAGGTCTCTTTTCCTTTCACTTAATCCTCAAGAAAAATTTTACTGGTACAATGCTTTCACATTGGCTGAGCCTGATGTAGTAAGAAGAANTAACCGTTACTAAATTTAAATTTTGAGATCACAGCCAAAGGGGTAACGGTACACTGATCCAGTAAGAAGAATTCCTAACCACTGTAAATGTATTCAACATCAGAATTGGGAATATTTCTGTAACACGATCTGTCACACAAATGACATTCAAATTTTAAACATGCAGTTTTTCTTAAGAAAAAACAGATGCATAGGTTTAGGAACCTGAGTTATACCTTTAAATTTGGTCTCATTCTGAAATCTCTTTTTTTTTTCTTTTTTAAGTTTCTAATGAAGCATTGCCCAGACGTCACCAAGATTTGGCAATTATTTTGCCGCAAGTCATGATATGGAAATCTCACCTCAGAATTAATGGTCTAGAACTGGAATAAAGGGGAGATTTTTGTATTGTGATCTGTGGCAGAATAATGACCAAGTCTAGGCAACTTCCGGGCAGTGACCCACATGATACTAAAGAAAACCATCACAGAAAAGGATCAACTTGAAAGGTATAAAATGTAACTACCCTCGGACGAACATCTTCATATTTTTCTTTTTTTTTTATTGTAACTTTAAAATCCGTTTTGGCACCTTGGCGATTGTGGTTGGCCGACAGATCACGATACAGAAATATCGCCGGACTAGCAAACTTCATCAGAGAAAAATAAACTTCAATTGATAAAATTATAAAAAAAAAAAAACATACAATAAAAAAACAACAATCCCTGTTATGACGATCTTGGGACAAGTCTTATACATAACTTAAGCAATGAACCACAAAGTATACCCAACACAGTAATATTTCTTCATATTGCGTATTTAATCTTAGAACAAGAGCGGCCCTCTTTCCTTAAGTTTCCAAAGCAACAATTACTAGGAAATGATTGTTACAGATTAAAGAAAATATATTAACAAGATTAATTTATCTAGCGGCTATAAAATGGCACGAAAAAATGCTTAATAAGAAGATAAAATTTAAAACACTCAAGTCCATTTCCTTTAAGACAAACGTATTGTCAGGATAAGCCAGACGACATAGAAAATGTATTCATGTGCAAACGACTCAGATTTATTATGAATGACGGTATGTTTAACTAAGTAATATTTAATATTACTCAATTAAGAAGAAACAAATTGTATAAGGAAACAGAACAACTTTGAAGAAAATTATAGCGCTTTGTTTACATAAGTGTAACTCAACAATTACTATTTAAATTATTCTATAACAATAGTGGTTCTTAAAAATGAATAAAAAAACTTACCATTCAAATTACAGGACAACTAGATTCATAATTATTCATATAAAAGGAAATAGTTAAAACATTTTAAAGATGCTTTAGTGTTTCACTTATTATGAGATCAGAACAATAGTAATGCTAAATTCGCTTGTAATCTCTTCTAACATAAAAAAAAGAAGAAAATTTTTTTAAAAAAACTAAAAAGAAGAATAAAATGTTAAATCTGATTGGACATTCTTAGTTTCGGTATTTAATGGACCAATAAGGGATGGCTCATTAAAAAAAGCCTTAGTAAAAATTTGCGGTTTCCTTTTTTTTCGTTTTTTTTTAATAACTTTTGACACTGTAGAGCTGTTCTCACTGAATACAATTTTTTCCGCACGCAAAAAAACGACAGGCCAATAAGAGCCTGATATTAGCGATCGAAATAGGCTGCAGGTAGCGTAAAGCAGAAGTCTCTACCTATGGCAACACTTCACATGCTTTCACAATTAGCGCGTGAAGAGTTATAGAAGAAGAAAGTAGTTAGTTTCCGTCTTGATTTTCAAATAGATTAAAATTATTTACGTTAAGAAACTATATGGGACTGATAACTACATTAAACATAGTTCTAAAAGAAAGCGTCATGATAATTTAAAGAAATATTTTAAACAACTAAATGTAAAAAATATTACTAACAGGTAAGATATCATAGTACATGCCTATACAACTGAAAAGAGGAAGAGAGAGAAGGGCGAAAGGCATGGAACCGGTCTTCTCCCCAGATGGAGTATTCGAGGGTTGTGATCGCCGATATTTTTACCTGCAAAAAGCTCGATGATCAACTCACATGCGGTCTGGGAAACATTCCTAAGGATGATCTGAAGACATACCATCACAATTTTGAACGTCTGCTGAGGAGATATCTGCCCCAAACTAGTAGCCCGATAACCTACAAGAGGGATCGAGCACTTTAAGGTAGAACAATTTAGCATGGACAGATACCATGCACCTTCGGTCCCTACTCAGGCTCATCAAAACCAAAGTGGTCACCCATTCGCTTGCTGACCGCAGCCAGTGTTGTATGACTTTGGTGTTTTACTGTGAACCATATCCTTACGACATTTTGCACACGAAGAAATCGACGCGATATCATTTTATCTACCAGCACCAAATGGATGGTGTTTTCAATAGAAATGTAAACAATAACAATCTCGAGCTTGGCACCTACTCTAGTTCCGGTTAAAAAGTTTGCAGCTGCTTACTACATGTTATTCTGATAGGCGATGTTTTCAAACGGATAATTTTGTTTTCAATAAGAGAAATAAATTAGATAATTTCTGAGCTCAAATCTGAGGTATTTCATAAGATATTAATGTTATAAAGTAATTCTGGGGAGTTTGGATTGAAAATTTGCTTTAGTTAGTCTGTTATTTATTATTAAAAAAGGTGACATGGTTGCTAGATTTTGAATAACTCGCTTTTTTGGCAGTCTTGATTTGGCCTCTTTCCATTTGTTTATTACTGTTTGTTCGTGTTGAAAGCTGTGCACCATCTTACGTTAGTGTTAACACTTNTGGTTGCTAGATTTTGAATATCTCACTTTTTTGGCAGTCTTGATTTGGCCTCTTCCCATTTGTTTATTACTGTCTGTTCGTGTTGCAAGCTGTGCACCATCTTACGTTAGTGTTAACGCTTTTAGTGTTGTAAACACAAGTATTGTTAGCTTTGTAAACATAAGTAATAAGTAATCAAATACATTGTTTGCATTGATTTGGCAAAGCACAATGATGCCAAATGGCTTTAAAATACAATTGAAACAGTAACCCGGAAATTTAGGCAGTCCCGAGCTGGCAGCGTGTCCTAGTGTAGAAAACACCATCCATTGGAGAAAAAATTTTCGTTGTCAACAGTTATTCACTATCGCAACACTCGAATACGCCACCTGGGAAGAAAACCAGTTCCATGTTCCATGTCTAAGGCCTCCCTCCCATTCCCTCTCCTTCTTTGCTCAGACGTATGGAAAAGATTTAAGATGTTTATCCCCTTTTTCTTTATTTTCCTTTTAGGTTGTCAGAAATTCATTTTAAAATTTTCACGATCCTTATCTTAAGTTTCGTGTTTAAGGAAGTCTCGAGTTTCATATAGATTCTAAATTAAAATTTTTTTAATCGGTTTTCAAATCAAGACAACAGTTAACATATTTTCCATTCCTTTGACTGTTCACACGTTAATGGTAAAACTTGCCTAGTGCTGCCATAAAGTAAAGGGTTCTGCCAAGCACCATCTGTAGCCTATTTCAATCGCCAATAGAAAAAAATTCATATAAAAGTATTTCAATGCATCATATTTACACTGCGTAGGGACCGAGGGTGCGCGGTATTGGTCGTCGTTAAACTGTTCTACCGTAAAGTGCTCGACTTCGCCTGCAGGTCGTCGGGCTACCGAAGCGGGGGTGCCATCCCCTCTGCAGAGGATCAAAATTGTGATGGCATGTCTTCGGATCATCCTCAGGGATGTTTCCCAGACCGTCGCCCATAGCCCATTGTGCAGCTCTAGTGCGACGTAAATGAACAAATCAAATCAAATCATATTTACAAATTTTATAACGTTTTTATTTAATATTATTTTAGATTAAAATATGCATTTATTATTTAGTAGTTGGTTCAATTTTTCAGTTTTTTTCTCTCTTATTTAACAAAAGATTAACGAAAATATTAGTGAAAGGAAATTTCGTGTTGATTCTTGTATTGCTCAGTGACCAGGTCTTTCGATTCCTCTGATTTTACGAGCATGTATACGATTTTGTGAAGAATTTTAGTATTTTAAAAATAAACTTTTAATTTTAGAACAAAAAATTTTCCAACGCCACACCGATAATATTTTTCTCTCTCTTTCATTAAAACAAAATTCATATAAAGTATAAATTAAGAAATTTAGAATTTGATTGGTTAGTAGGAATGTACCCCAAGTTAAGAAAAATCGCGAATTTTATTTTGTATTTCTTAAGGTTTTAACTTTTTTATTGGCTTAATTTTGTGAAAGAACAAAAATTATATGAATTGAATTAATCAAAAAACTAACAGTTGAACGATTAACGAGCGTTAAACGATAAACTTATTAAAAGTTGAAGAAATTTGTCGGAGGCTAAAAAGCTCCGCGTCGTGAAACATACTCTATGGTTCTGACTGGTATCTGATTTTCTAACAAACACAAGCTAATTTGCCTCCGATTTGCGCATAGGGGCCGTTCGCACGTTACATGTGATACTCCTCACTATGCTGATGCAAGTGATAGACGGATTAATGGAATACAGACTCTGACTGGCATCTCCAATTTTGCATCCGCATTTTTTACATATGCAGTGAAAATGACCATTATAAACACCCATCTGTAGTTTCGCACTTGCGTGTTGGGGAATTGCACGTATTTAGATTAGCTCTAAGGAACCATTCGCATCGCTTAAAGAATCGCAGGCGTATGAGATTCTGATTGGTAAAAAGAATGAGGATTCAAGCATTCAGCAACTAAGTAATCATTATTGTGCGAATTTTTGGCATGCAGTAGGAATGATTCCTAAGAGTTTCTGCTGCCATTGCACACCAACAGATATACGATGCGTTTATGTATGATTTAGATTCTTTGAAGGGCTATTCTCACTACATGCGATTTAGCACCGGCGACCACTGTAGAGAGGGAACGAGAATCTGATTGGGAAAAATATATTCTTCCGTAATAAACTCACCAATAAGGTTTTCCCATATTTTAGACGGTGATAGACTGCGCATGAATTACATAAAGTGTGAAAGCTCCTTGAGCAGTGCTGTATCACCAGACTAGTTGCTGCGCCTCTCAAGCTGTTTGAGCAAGCACGAATCGTTCATTTAAACTCCTCAAACAAAATTTCATGTTGTATTTGGACTCCCAACAGTGATGAAAGTGATGCAGGAGCATTTCAATTTATGAAGTTTCCCCATATATATTGGGTTTGTACAAACACGAGAAAAACAGAGGAAATGAAAGCAGTAAGGAGCCGTTCTTACTCTACGTGATTCACGCACCTCCGACTACCGCTGACTGAAAAGAAGAACTTGATTGGTGAATTACTTTGCGTGAGAATATTGCTGTATTTTTCATTTACGGAGCAATAGAACTGCACAATGGGCTATTGGCAACGGTCTGGGAAACATCCCTGAGGATGCTTTTAAGACATACCATCACAATTTTCAACCTCTGCAGAGGAGATATCTCCCCCAATCTAGTAGCCCGACAACCTGCGAGAGAGGTCGAGCATTCACGTTAGAGCAGTTTAATGGGGATCATTATCACGCACCCTCAGTCTTTACGCAGGCTGATCCAAGTGGTCACTCACCCGCACACTGACCGCAGCCAGTGATGCTTGACTTTGGTGATGTGCTGGAAACCGTGTCTTAATGATCAGTCCACTGCGGGACAACATGAGAACATATTTCGAGAATCAAGTTTTCCAATCACCAGTCAGTAAGAAAGACTTGCCTTTAAAGAGCCATTCTCACTTTGCAGTTCTCGAATCTTCAAAGTTCACGCATCTTCTATTTTCTCCTAGGAAATATAAGAATCTGAATGGTGATATATACATTTCTGTACCCAATCAGGTGCCGACCGGCCTGTGTAGGGGGCAGGGAACTGTCCTTGCATCAGAAAGGTTCTCGGTTCGAATCCCGGGCAAGGGATGGATGTTTTTCTCTCTCTGTGTGCTCTATGTCCTTTCTCCTTTGTGTGTGTGAATGTGCGTGAATGGGACCCGCCATATAAACGGGTTTGCGGTTGTGTGAATAGTGTGGCAGAATTCGAATTCTTGGCTATAGATGGCGCCACTGAAAGACAAGTACAATCGCACCCTCTCTGCCTAAACAGGCATACGACAAAAAAAAGAAAAAAAAGAAGAAAAAAAGAGAAGAAACCCAATCAGGTTCTTTTTTCCTCTTGACGGCGATCAATGGTGTGGTAATCGCGTGTAGCAAGATCCCTAACTTGGTTGATATTGACATTATTATTTTGTCCCGCAGTGGACTGATCGTTAAGACACTGTTCTCAGCAGATTAACCGAAGTCAAGCATCACTGGCTACGGTCAGTGTGCGGGTGGGTGACCACTTGGATCAGTCTGCGTAGGGACCGAGGGTGTGCGGTATTGGTCCTCGT